GCACTTCAGTCCCTCCAGCTCCCCATTCCCCCAGATGAAGATATTTCATTCCCATGTAGTGACTCTTCCATTCATTCCCATGACAAGACTCTTCTAGTCCAGGATCTGGGACTAATCCTGTTCCTAGTCACAGGGATTCTTAGAACTGGAGGCCAGTAGCTCAGCAGTTCAGCATTAAGTCAGCCAAGTTGCTGGTTCCTTCTGAGTCCTATATTTTGGTAGCTATGCCTGAGCCCTTGCTTTGTTGCCATGTGACCAATCCTGTGCTTTATCCTCTACTTCAGAGGTTCTAAACTACAGGCAATTTTGCCCCTCTGCTACTTTCCAGGAGACATTTGGCAAATGTGGGAGGGTGGGGGTGATACTGGTATCGAGGCCAGGAGTGCCGCTAAACATCCTACCGTGGACAGAACGGCTTCACACAATAAAAAATTATCTGGGCCAAAATGTCAACAGTGCCATGACTGACAAACCCCAGACTAATTCCAGTAACTGGGTCTTGTATCCTGCTCAGTATCCCCATTCATGTTGTTGCCAGACCTCACAACTCCACCCACCTTCCTCCTAGACCTCTGCCTACATCTACATTCTTCTGATACAGTGTTTCCCCCACATACTGAGAAACTTCTGTTTAGTCCACTACCAGGATGTCTGGCTTCTTATACCAGGCACCCATCATTCCACCTGACAACCTTTAGTTCATATATTATGCTTGTTAACAACCCAAGCTTTGGATCTAACCTGCTTGGATTAAAGACCTGGCTCCTCCATTAAGTAGCTGTGTAACCTTAGACAAGTTACTTTGCCTTTCTGAGCCTCAGTTCCTTTATCTATAAAATACAAATAGTAGCAGTCCTTACTTCATAAATGAGATAATACAAGTCAAGTGCTTAGCAAAGTTCCCAGCACATTTTTAAGTATTTTGCTAAATGTTAGCTATTGCCCATTGCTAAGACATTTCTAGATTACTTCAGCAAGTCTCTCTTATCCAGTGATTATCAGCCTTCTAGAGAAGCACTACCCAATAGAACTTTCTGCTACAATGGAAAGGTTTTCTATCTACACTCTCCAATATGGCAGTCACCATATGGCTATTGAATAGTAGAAATGTAGACAGTGTGGCTGAGGAACTGAATTTTTAAAATATTATTAAATTTAAATTTAAATATAAATAGTGGCTAGTGGTTATCATAATACACAGCACACTTTTAGAGATTTTCAAACTCAACACTGCACCAAAACTGAAATTCCAACAAACTCTCCTGCTGAAGGAAGGGGCATTTTTACTCCTTTCAGACACTGAGAATCACTGTCCTTGGGAGCCACTGTACTGATGGGGAACGTGTCACACCTCTCAGGCGAGTTGGAATAGAAGAAGGCGCTAAGATAGGAATGACTAATTCTGGCTAGTCCAACCTCTTCCTGCTCCAGTCAGCCACTGCCAAACAAGCCTCATATCTCCAGAGCAGTGGTTGCCAACCAGGGCAACTTTGCTTCCAGGGGACATTTGGCAATGTCCAGAGATATTTTTCGTTGTCAGTTCTGAGGGGGAAGGGTAGCTGATACTGTCATCTAATGGACAGAAACCAGGAGTGCCTCTAAACATCTTACAGTACACACATATACAGGACAGACCCCCCGCCAACGTTATTATCTGGCCCAGAATGTCAGTCATGCTGATGTTGAGAAACTCTGCCCTAGAGAGATCTTTGAACAATCCCAGACAGGGAAGCATCACCCTGCCCTCAAAAGCCTCCAAAGGCAAGGGGTCTCTAACCTCCCTGTGAATTCAGTGCAGTGTTTACACTACTCCCAGTTTACTCCCTTCAAATTACCTGGACGGAAATTGCTTCTCTCCCTATTAGGGACAGATTTTAGAAACCAACAATTCTCTAATCTGGAAAAATGCAGACAAAAAAGAGAAATCTCTAAAATGATGGAAGCTATGAAAAAGGAAAACTGGGTCTAGTTCACCAATTGCTAGGATAACAGAAGGAAAAGAGAGCCTTTGAAACCTGCCAGAGCTTTAGGATGGACGACAGACCATGATTTCCACAGCATGTAATAAAATGACTTGTACTCATTACCCCCTAAAGGTGAAAGGTATGAAAGGCTAAAGATGTTCTCAGAAGGGATTGGATTAAACATGTTTGCAGCTTCTAAAACCATAAGGAACTATTTAGAGGAGCTAGAAATATTAGGGCCACACTTCTTTGAAATTGATAGCATGGAAGGAATTTCTGCTCTCCCCCAATCCTTCCTTCTGTGCATCGGAGACAGAAATCTGGGCTGAATGGCTCATGGGATTGAGCCAGTCATTGGACCAGATCTTATATTTTTAGGTCTCCTGAACCTCTCCATGCTGCAATTTAGGTATATTTTCTTCTGTATTGTCTTCAGGAGGAAAGTCAAAAAGCTACTATGTTTATTCCAGAAAACTAAACTGGATAATTGAGATCATCGTAAACCCATTTTTCTTCTAACTCTGAGCTTAGGGAAACTACATAATCCTACATAATCATCCCCTACTTTCCACTGCACTTTGTCTAACTACACAACAAATGCCTCTATGTGACAGCAATCAGCAGGGGTGAAAATGCAAAATTCAACCCTGCAGATGTTTAACCACTAACTGGAAATTTAGAAGATAGTTGATAACTGTATAATGTATCCTCTGCTGAAAAATCAAAGATAGCCAGGTGAAGAGAAATTAACTACCCCTGGCCTCAGGGACTATGCCTATGTTTAAAGTAGCTGCCAACAGGTGAGCAGTAGTATTCTACCCCTGGAGACTAGTGCCTGCCTCAGGTGTGGATAACTGAGAGACACTGGAATGTGAGACTCAAAAATTGCTTGAAAAATGGAACAAAATCTCCTCTTTCAAGCCTTGTCCTCCAGTCATATCATGTAACTCTTCAGTCAGCCTCCATATGAACTAAGCAACTTTAAAACAAAACATCATTTGTCATGTACAGGAAGCATGAAATGAAAATCACGATGGGCAAAGGGAGTGCTCTTGACATCATTTAACATGAATTTTGCTTCCAGATTTCTGGTCTGGTTTCCTTTTTACCTTTAAAAAAAAAAGAACCTATCATAAAACTACTTTAGGCCTCTTTCTTTATTCCGGCTTATCTAACATCATATTTGAGAGTAGTGGTGAAAACTACTCTTTTATGACTTTCTTTTTATACTCTGAGAACCAACTGAGCTAGTTTTTACCACCCAAGCTTTTCTAGGTCTAAACTGGGCCTAAAACTTTTTGATGATATCTACTATTTTTCATTTGTATGGCTATAAACCACTTAAAACAAAATGGAGATTTTCAATCCCTCTTTTTGAATGAAAGACCCTCTTTTTGTTCATTCCTATTTTGTTTTGCTGGCAGATGTGCTCCAGTACATGATCAGTACCCACTAGAAAAATTATAAAATAATAAATGGTTATTCAATTCATATTGAATCCTATCACATAGTTGATAGCAATATGGTTATCCTGGCACTCCCATTGTCTTGTGTTGCTTCTGGGTTCTCAGCCCTCTCCAGAAATCTTTATCATGCTATCTAAACTCACACTAGTCATGTGATGAGCAATGAAATGGAAAACTCTAAATCAGCTTGTCAGCATCCTCTTTCTAGTAAAGCAATCTACAAGAGAAATTTAATTTAAAAATCACATGGCCACCTATACAAAATGAACCAAGAACTATGGCTTTCCTGAAAAGCTGTTTGTATCAAGCTTCACCATAGGGCTACCTGCAAAGTACCTGTACACTGTCAGATTAGGGCTTCATTCCTCTGTGCAGTGCGAGGGACACACTGACCACACCTTCACTCATGACAGTTTCCCCATCTCAGTAATAACCCACATCCTCTGATTTACTTATTTTTTGACACATTATTATGCATTATTTTCATAATTTCCCAGAAAATGTCATAACTTAACTGTATACAAAATGCCTTCCACAGAGGGTTGGCTCCCCAAAAGCCACTCACAGTGTATCCCCTTCCTACCTTGGCATCTTTTACCTTTTTCTTTGTTTCTAATATCCATCCCAGGGAACAGTTACTTTTGGAGCCAATGGCTTCCATCACTCATTATAGCCCATATTTTACAAACAAAAATGTGTGGAATGGTTCATTTAACCCTTGTGACAATCTAGATTTGAGAAAAATGCCTTTCCAGGTTTCTTCCAACTAGAACCTTGAAATTATAAACTCTCAACCTATGGAGTCAGCCACGTATTTGTTTTTCCTCATAGACTTAACCACTATATTTTGAAAAATTAAGAGCCCCCATCCGATGAGAAATCAAGAATCATTTTGTGGGTTGCCAAACCTTAAACAATACTACAAAGTTACTTTTAAAAGTTTGCGAAAAAATAGAATTAAAAGATAATATGAATCTTTCCAAGAACTTTCTGAAGATCCTGAGTACATAATGTTTATCTGAGTTTAAGGTAGAACATTAGTTGCTAAGTTTAATTACTATCCAACAAAACCTGCAATACGTTCTTAAGATATGTCTGTATATTCAGTGCTATGATTTAAAGATTTGCTTATTGATGTAATAAATCAAATTGTTGGTCTTTTGCTGGTTGGGGGTTGTGAGGAAAGTGGAATTTGTTTTGCCAGGCCTTCTAGCCTCATATCCGGCCGGGTATGATTTCAGCGCATCCTTCGTAAACAAGTTACACGAGGGTGGAGTTAGTGCGCATGCGCGCCCGGGCAGCGCCCGGCTCGTGGCCGCTATTGTGTGTTTCGGGAGGCAACGGCTCCGAACCGCTGGTCAGTGGAGCTACGTCTGAAGAATATAAAGCACGTCCGCTTTGCTGGCAGCTGCTTGGTTTTACTTTCACTTACCTGACTCAGGACCTGCACAGGACGAGGCAGAGGGGTCTGTGATGCAGCCCGACAATTGGCGTAGTTTCGGCAGAGTGAACAAGTAAGGGAGCCCCAGGAGCCCCTCGGGAGGGGGAGGAGAGGTGGCTGCCCTCGAGCATGTGGTACCTGGTGGCAGCGTTCCTGTGGACTTGGACTCCACTGGAAACATGCGACCAAGTGGATGGGTCCTCCAAGAGCATAGAGGAAGCTCTCAGGGTACTGAGCTCCATGGTGAAAGATGAGGAGTCCCAGAGAATGGCTGGCCGGATGGGCTGGTTGTGGTTGGCTGTACTGAGATCCAGTATGGACAGGGCACTCCATGAGGCCACATAGCAAAAGGCAGACATGCTGGAGAATGATGTACAGCAACAGGTCACCCCCGTTTCTGAAGCTGAGGATGATGACGACCCTGAGGGTGACTTGGGAGAACCTGTGTGTCTCCTTGCACGACCTGTTGTCCATCAGAAACAGGCAAACCCCTAGCTATTTGACTCCTACAGCTGTGGGACCTCGGGGTGGATGGCAAATGTACAGTATGTGTTAGTATTAGTGGATAGTGGCGCAAAATGTAGCCTGATATGTAGCAACCCAGATAAGTTTCCAGGGGCCACAGTGAATGTTGATGGCTATGGAGGACATTCTATTACAGTCAAAGCTGGGCTGCTGAGCACTGAACGATTGTTCCCTCGTGTATATATTCTGTATGTATCCCCTGTAGCTGAATATATCTTGGGTATAGATGTACTACATAGGCTACACTTGCAAATGATGGTTGGAGAATTCCTGTTGCAGATACAGACAGTGAAGCCTGTGTTATGGGGACATGCTAAACATGACCCACAGGTGTTACCCAAGCCAAAGCATGTGGTCAATGTGAAACAGTGTTGCCTGCTAGGAGGACATGTGGTGATAGGTGCCACTATGAGCTAGAATAGGTCAGCATCATTCATCCCACACACAGTCCCTTTAATGCGCCTGTATGGCTAGTGAAAAAGCCAGATGGTACCTGGAGGATGACTCTGGACTATTGGGAAATGAACAAAATAGTGCCTCCTTTGCACACAGCTGTGCCTTTGGTTCACAACTTAATGGGTCAGCTGATGACTCAGCTAGGAACTTATCATTATGTACTGGACCTTGCAAATGATTTTTCCTCTATACTGATCTTGGATGATAGCCAAGATCTATTTGCCTTTGCCTGGGAAGGAAGGCAATGGACTTTTCAGGTGTTACCCCAGGGCTGCCTGCACAGCCCAACCATTTGTCACTGTCTGGTGGCTGGGGACCTAGCCAAATGGACTAAGCCCAGCATTGTTACAGTATTTCATTATATGGATGATGTCTTACTAACCTTTGATTCTCTTGCGAATTTAACCAAGGCAGCTCTAACGCTGCTAGGTCATTTGGAACAATATGAATGGGTCTTACCCTTTGGATATGTACTTGGAAATATCAGTGGTGGCTGGTAGGTCACTGACCCCTGTGGGGACAAGCCATGTGTCAAGAGTTATGGGAATTAGGACATGGAAAGGAAGTAAGTCTTTTCCACGTCGCAGGACATTCCCCCTAAGCCAGTCCAGGCAATGATGAAGCTGGTGCATTGGCTAAGGTAAGATGGCTGGAGAGAGCTCCAACAGCTGATTTAACTGGGTGGCTACATTGGAGAATGCAGCGTGCTGGCTGCATGACTTTGTGGTCGATGGCTTGCTGGGTGCCACATAAACCTGAGAAAGAATGCCCCTGATGAGCAGATGTACCCTTGATGTCCCGCCGGGTGCCGCATGCAGATAGGCTCAAAACCTGAGAGGAGGATGCTTCTAACATGGTGGCAGGTGGATCTTGTGGGATCACTGCCAAATCAGAGAACTACAGGTATATCATCACAGCCATCGATTCCGCTACTGGTCTTCTGTTTGTAGGGTTTGGTAAGGCCCCAGACCAGTATGGTGGCTGTAGGCACCAGAGTCGACTGGACACATACATACATTCGTGTGGCCAGTGTGTCAGCTTGCTGAGTATGCACCGAGTTTCCTACCAGTGTAGCTGCAGGATTACCTGTGGAAAATCACCCCAATGACAGCTACGAACTGGACATATGTATCGGTGGGATTTTCGTGGCTAATAGTTGAGAGGATAGCGCTATGGGGACAAGCCTCAAGGTGCATTGAATGTATATTAAGTATGGAGGTTATATGGATGCAAGGGTCGGCCATCCTCACTACAGGAACACTGTGGAAGATCTCAGATGCATAGATTGTACAGGGAGAGACCCTTAAGGGGTGGAGTGTGAGGAAAGTGGACTTGGTTTAGTCAGGCCTTCTTGCCTCGTATCTGGCTGGGTATGATTTCAGCACATCTTTTGTAAACAAGTTACATGAGAGTAGAGTTAGTGTGCATGCACACCTGTGTACTGTTTGGCTTGTGGCCGCTGCTGTGTACCTTTCGGTATGGAAGCCAGCGGCTTTGAACCGCTGGTTGGTGGAGCCCACATCTGAAGAATAAAGCATGTCCACTTTACCCGCGGCTGCTCGGTTTTACTTTCGCTTACCTAACTCAGGACCTGCACAGGACAGGGCAGAAGGATCTGAGATTCCTGCCTGACAGGGGCAGAGTAGTGTGGTGGTCAATAGTACAGGCTTTGGGCTCAAGCTGCCTAGGTTCAAGTTCTGACTCCTTTACTTTTTAGCTATGTGACCTTGGGCAAGGCACTTCGCTTCTCTGTGGCTGAGTTTTCTCAGGTATAAAATGGGGATAATTATTATGTCTATAGCATAGAGCCATAGTGAGTACTAAATTAGATACTCCAGCATGAAGCCTGGCATATGGAAAGTGCTCAGTAACCGGTAGCCATTAGTATTCTTTTTATCCCTCCTACTCAGACTAAAGCTAGTCATTATTATATATATTATTGATTTTACATATCTATACTAACTTTTTTAAAACATCAAGTGGGTTCTTTGACATTATTGCCAAGTAAGTTTTGTACATTTTAGTCTTCCCATCTAAATTATATGCACCTTGTCCTGAAATCAGTTGAGACGATCAAGCAAATCGTAATTCTGATGGTTCTGTTTTTACGAGAGTCTGGGAAACAGATTCTTTCCCATCTGATGCCAATGGCTGCTCCAAAGTGGCTCAGGCATCATCACTACTAGCTAACCAACCTTATAGGTAGGCAGAGCAGCAGGCTGGTAATGCAATGTGATTAGATGCCAGTGTTCTTTATTTCTGAGTAATACGGAGAAATGCAATTTCATTCCACCAGTTGCTTGGACTGCTGAAAAAGGTTGAACATTGATTTTATCTATCATGTTAGGGTGGGGAAGAGGGGACCCAGCAGGTGGAAAAAAGGGATTGCAGTTGCACTAAATCCAGGCACAAGACAGGAGATTCATTCCCAACATGATGCTATCAGTCCAGCTGTGTAAGGAAGTGCCAATTGGAGTGGCTGAGTCTGTGAACAGACGGCATTTTGGGTATGAATGAGGTAGCTCCTGATAAGGGTCTGCCCATTAATTACAAATACAGGTTTAATTTCAGAAGCCTGTGATAAACTCCACGAAGGGCGCCTGCCTAAGCCTGGTAACAATAGGGTTCAGGAGAATTCCAATTAGCAGATTGTGTCCAGTGATGAGATTAATAGAAATGAATGTATCATTTGGGCCCCTTGTGAACAATAACCTTGTAAAAGCTTTTCCGGTCCTGAGAGTGGGAGGAGGGGAGCATCACCTGTTCCTCTGTGGTGTCCTCCAGCAATGGCATTTAGCTGAAGATATGATGAAGCTGACTTTTGCTCACCCTGTTTGCTGCACTGCAAGCGTTCTACATGATGAGCTCTGAACTGAGCGAGTCTATCCAATGCTCATTAATCCAGAAGATTCCTACAGTATAATGCTAGCTTTTCAACAAGGAGTCCTAGGGCAGATCTAGGAGCAAACTCCTTGGGGTCTGAATGCAAAGCCCCAGAGACAGGCAGGCAATGGAACTTCTTTAGTGGGCATGTTCTTAGCCCACATCATTGCAAATTTTAAAATTCAATCAAGTCGGTTGATGCACCAAGTTTCTTTAGAAGTACAGTTGTAGATAATATGAGCCAAATCTAATTTCTTGGTTTGTTGATTTCCTTTCCTCTTCTACCACTCCCCCCACCCACCTTTTTTTTTTCCTTTAAAAACAAAAAACAAAAAAACATGATTTTTAACAAGAAGCCCAATATCATTCAGTATAATTTTGGAGTTAGAAGGCAAAACTTGACAAAATAGAATAAAATTGAATTTTCCATCTGACCTCAATTTGAATACAAAATGGCTGTTAAAGGGTAATTTTTTAAAAAGGGTTAAATCATGTTCCTCATATAAATTTAAAGTAAACACATCAAAGATTTAACTCATTAATGAAGGAGGGAACCAGTAGGCTAGGGGATCTGCAAACCATGGCCTGCAGGTTTAATTCAGCCTGTCACCTGTTTCTGTAAATAAAATTTTATTGGAGCACAGTTGGCCCATTCATTTATGTATTGCCTATGGCTATTTTTGTGCTGTAATGGCAGAATTGTATGGTCCGCAAAGCCTAAAATACTTACTGTCTGGCCTTTTACAGAAAAAGTTTGCTCTCCTCTGATACAGACCATTAGGAATGCTGAAATAAATTTACAAATGGATGCAAAGTAGTCAATATCCATAAAGCAATAATCAATTGTATTACACCAGATGAGAAATATTTGCATTACAATTTACAGAGTTGTAAAGTAATTCAAAGACAATGAAAGGCATGGATAATTCAGAAAACATACTAGATAGGTCCTCTAGTTTTCTTTTTTGCACCATCCCAACACTTTCACCATTTTTCTTTACAGCTGCTAGAAAAAAGCTCATGCGCAGAGCCACCACTAGTAGCAGAGTCCACTCTATCTGAAAGTGAAGTAGGAAGCAAGCTGAGCAGTGGATTGTAAGGCCTAGGGAAGACCTTCACCAAACTTAAGTCCCCCACCAACCTACTTCTTGAAATTCTCATCTTTTGGGCAAGGCCAAGGTGTTCTTTCTAGGTTCCACCTGTTAAAATGCAAATAGCCCATGCCAGGGACAGCTCCAGATATGCTTAACAATAAGTAATAATTTGGTATGGGTTATTTTTTTCAGAGATTAGCTGACTAGTCACTTAGAAGGACCAAAAGGTCCAGGGACCTGGATGAGAAACTAATAAAATTTAGTAAACCTAATCTATGCAAAAATAGTCTAAAATATAAGAATAGCCCATAAAGGCAGTACTGGTTAAGCCCACACAGGGGCTTGTATGACAGCACTGAGTTAACAGACAGGGGGCTGAATGACAGCACTGGGTTAACCTGTATTGTTAGGGAGAACATTAAAAAGTACACAAAAGAGAATTGGTGGGGACAGCTGCTCTCAAACTTTCCTTGTCACAGTTTTGCCCAGGACGTGGTGAACAGAAAACCATTACTGTGCTGGGGAGTGTGCTTCTGATTAGGATACTTTTATAACACATTTGTTTCTATAGGAGCCACATATGTTGAGAACCGAGTATGTTCTAAACCTTGTGTAGACAATATGCACAATCTCATTTAATCCTCATAATTTTGCCCAGCTGCTGTTATTTCCCCCATTTTATAGGTAAGGGAATCAAGGCACAAAAAGACTAGTAAATGACAAAGGCAAGAGAGGGATGCCTCAATTGCACTGTGGGAGACCGCAGGCACAGCCCCTCTTCTCCCCATCTCCTGATTATCTACTGATTTAGTCACTATCACAAGTGCTCTGATTATTTTGGCCCCTAGATTACAGTTGTGCTCTCAAGCCCAAGACATGTTATCACCCTGAATGACTTCAGCGTCCATATGAACAAGCCAACCAGCAACCTGCCCTGTCAGCCCCTTGTCCTCTCTCCTCCACTGACCTCTGCTCGCTCCACCTCAGCGCACTCTGCTCAGGGCCAGCCCGGAGCCAGTCATCACTCAGCACTGCTCCACCATGGGCATCATGGCCACCTGTGCCCCACTCTGGCCACAGTCTCCCATCCTCCCAGTTCATCTGCTCTGACTCTGTCTGCCCTTGGACCTCAAAGAGACCTCAAGTCCCTTGATGACCCCATTTCCCCCAGGCTTTTAGTCCTTACCTGTTGATCTGAGCTTCATGCTTAATCACCTGAACTACTACTTTATCCTCAGCTTCCTTTCATCCCTGGCAAAACCTCAACCCTGGATCAATCCAGCAACCTGAATTCTCCATCCCTGCCTCTGGACTGTCAAAGTTGCTAGAGAGGAAAAAAACCACATACTTCCATGCATCACTGCTATTACAAATTTATAATCTCTGATTTACCTGAGACTTCAGCACTGCTAGGCAATCCTTGTACTTGGTCAGCTCCTTCTATCTTTTCCCTTGGCAAATCTTCCATACACAACTCTCCTCACACACCCTGCCAACTTCTACCTCCCTCACTCATAGCAACTGATCTCACCTCCTACTTCAATGAGAAAACAGCATTTTTAGATGGAAAGTACCTCAACCTGCACCCTCTCCACCCAAACTTCCCTCCAGCGCCACCCACTCCCCTTTTCCCTGGTCTCTGAGGACACGTCATCCTTCTTTCCGGGACCAAGATCAACCTCCACCCGCCCCGCCTTTGCCCTGGACCCCACCCCCTCCCCATCTGCTCAGGCACCTGCGTCCCTGAGCTGCTCTGTCCGTCACCTGCAGCCTCTCCGATCCTGCCCGCTTCCTCCTCCCGATCTCGTCTCATCAACGTGCTCGAGCTGCAGCTTCACCTCCTGCCTCACAGCCGCGTCTCAACAGAGGCCCGGAGTGTTAGGCCAGAACTCAGGCCAGGGACCCAGGGAGAAGTCTTGTTCTACAAACCAGGGCACAGGCGGGGAAGGAGCTGCGATTCCGAGTCTAACAGAACAGAGGGGGTGCCCCATGCAAAGCCCCAGCAGTTGGAATGGAGGGTGCAGGAGGCTGAGGCCACTGGAGGCTTCCCACATCCAGCCTCGGTTGTTCTGGGGACGGGGGCGGGGCAGGCCTTGCAGTGGGGCAGCGGGCCCAGCCGTGCGGGAGCTGGGACAGGCAGAGGCTGACTCCATCCACTCTCTTGGTTTCGACTGTTATTGGCTGAAGACTTTCACATCTATAATTTCAGCCCTGACCACTCTCCTTTGAGATTCATGCTGGAGTCATACAAGTTCCTGTTGCTGTTCCAAACCCAACATATCCAAAGGGAACTTTTCAAAACCTTAAACCTGCTTTCCCTACTATGTTCACTATCTCAGTTGATGACACCACCATTCAGTCAGGCATGCAATCTAGAAACCGGACATCCTGGATGACTTCTCCTTCCCTTACCTGATGCGTATAATGAATGTCTTAAATCTGTTCTTTGTTGTTGATCTCTAAAATCACTGTCTAGTGTAAGATCCTTACCATCTCTTTACCTGGACTAATGATATCTTTTAACCAGTTTTATTATTCGGAAATTCCTCAAATGATGTGCTGGAGCTGGTTTCCACCAGCTGGCCAGAGCTGATTATCTGATTCTCTTCCCAACTCCATGTTCCATGATGTCATATTGGTAGCTTGAAATTGGCCACAGTGGTAGTGTTTACACCACAGAAACCAGCAAACACTACAAATCAGGACCCTGCCCCCCACCCCTACCCATCCTCCCTGTGGAGAGCTGGCTGTTAAACATTTACCAGCACATTTACCACTATCCATTTCCCACACTTTGGCCGAACTAATCTTTATAAAACACTCGACTATACCACTCTCTTGATCAAACACTTCAGTGGCTTCCTGTGGCCAACAGATAACATTTAAGTTTCTTTTTTTTTTTGTCTTTTTCCGTGTCCGGCAACGGATCGCAACCCTCAGTGTTGCCCCCGTACCGGACCGGGGACCGGCAACGGGATTGCAACCCTCGGTGTTGCTCCCGCGCCTCGCTCAGCCAGTGAGCGGGAACCGGTCTGTATGTGGGATCCGAACCCTCGGGCGGGAGCACCGCCGCGCTTCCCAAGCGGCGCACTTATCCAGTGCGCCACCGGGCCGGCCCAACATTTAAATTTCTTAACGTGGCATCTGAGACCTTTTATCATTTGGCCTCTGCCTAAATGTCCAGCTTCCTCTCCCATTTCTCCTTAGTCTCACAACTTATGTGCTAGCTCAAAGGTCACAAACTGGCTCACTCAAGCCAAATTTGCCTCACAAATGAATTTTGTGAGCTAACATTTAAACCTTTAAGAGGTTCTACCCCCAAATCCGTATTTATGACTTCTCTTCAAAAATTACAACACTGGGCCCTCATTCATGCTTATACCCGCAATTTGCAGGAACTGAGCAGCAGCTGCTCCTTTTGAGAGGGGTTCTACACTTCACCAGTTTCTACCGTTCACTCACCCAAATTATGCATAGACACCTACACCTGGCCCTCGTTTCTGTTACCTGTTATCTGTTTGGCTCCTGCTGCAGACCATATCATAAAGTCTACCTTATTATCAGAAACTTCTGACCTTCATTATAGAACTTTCTCTTTCTTTACCGTAGCTGTCTTAACAATAATCCATGGTCCCTGCACAGCCTGGGAAGGGGAAAGCAGCAGGTTGATGAGAAAAGGAAGAAGCAGAGAGGGTAGGAGTAGAAATCTGTGGTTTGTGGATCAAAGTCTCCATTTTGAAGCAATAGAATTGCAAAAATGAGAGGCAGGAACTGTCCCAAGTTTTTGAGGCCTTGGATTAGTTCCCTGTAGAACCATCTGCTAACCCTCTTTAGAGCCTTGAGATGTCTACCTTCTCAGCTGGACACGGGCAGGAAAGGCCCAAGGAAATTAGCTCACACTGACCCAAATTGTGGGAGTTGGGTTTGTAAAAATGAGAGTCATTTTCTTAATTTGAGAGCAGGAAATTTAATTCCTTTTTGCTGAGTGCCTGCTGTGTGTCTAGCACTGTGCTAGATGCTTTAGGGGAAACAAGAGCAGACCAGGAAAGCTCAGCTTTCAAAGAGCTCACAACCTTAATGAGGGGGAAAAAATACATGCAGGAAATAATTAGAGAACAATGTAAGGCAGCATCAGAAAAGTGATTATCTTGGATGTAACCTAGTGCCCTGATACCTGGGTGGGCAGCAAGGGATGGGCTTAAAGTTAGGAAGAGGAGCTATTGAAGAAGACAGAGCTTGCAGTGGCCCTTGACTGGCAGAGAAATGGGGCAAGACCATTCCACACAGGTGATCCCACAAGGATATACACACGGGTAGCAATGAGTGAGGTGGCTGTGGCAACTGTGAGTGGCAACACTGGAAGGGAAAAGGCAGTCTGAGTGGAAAGACATGGTTGGTCACTGCAGAACAGTTTTCTTTTGAAAAAATATCCTCTCTGGTGTCACGCACCCAGAAAGCCAAATGGAGGATCAGAAAGCTCCTTGTTGGACAATGGAATCAGATATATCCAGAAAGTATTTTGTATGCTAGGCAAAGACGGCAACCCCTTGGCTCCATGACACAAGTGGGGCTAAGCAATATTCACAGGTACTACTGTGTGTGTCTTGAACAGGACTGGCAGCACTGACATAGAAGCAAAGGATTGAAAAGAGTAAGAAAAGTAGAAAGAGCAAGAAGGGGAGAGAGAGAGAGGACAGGAAGAGCAGCATGGTAGGAAACAGAAGGTACCTCCAATCTAACCCAGGGAATCCTGTGCTACAGGTTATAGCACCCCCACCCCCCAAATCCCCAACACCTTTAGCTGCAGACAGAGATTGAGAAATGCTCCTGCCCAGCGAAAAGGCCAGATTTCCCAGATCTGAGCTCTTTTCTTCCTGGGCAGACTGTGACAAATTGCTCACTTACCATCTCTCCCAACTCTAGGCTATATGCTGATTGTGTTTATGTTCATTTCCAGGCTGACTCAGACCCACTTCTTCCTTAGCCTGTAGGCTTATGTTAATCTCTGAGATTATTCTTTCCTGTGTTCAATTTACTTTATGAGCCAGTTGCTCACTTCCTGCTGTCTTGTTTGTAGCTGCTCCCTCTAAATGTTTAACAATGTTTACTCTCTGCTCCATCGTAGCAATTGATGACCAATGTACACCCAGCTTTCAACTATTCAGAGGCTCATACAACCACTCAGTGAAGGAAACAGGTTTCTTGCAAGCTCCTCCTCCTCCACCTTTCTCCCACTCCCCGTTTTCTGGCCACTTTTCTGTTTGGGAATCCCTTGTGCAAGGTGGGAAGGAGGCAAAGATGATGAAAAATAGTAACTCATCCTTTTGTCAGTTTGCCAGGAACTGGGGGCGGGGGGGGGGGGGGGGTTTAAAATGGTTTTGGGGGAAAAAAAAAAAAAAA